TTAATTAGCTGCACAACATGGGGCATGTTATTAAATTCTCTGAATCCCGGATTTCTCATTTTAAAATGGAAAAAATGGCATGTATGTGCCAGGCTTGTTGTAAAGATTAGCGCTAAGTACCCCAGTCCTTGGCTCACTTAGAGACATGTAGCAAGTGATCAAAGCCATTACCAATGGCAGAAATGGGGTCTGAGTGAAGGCCTTCCTTTAAAATATACTTGTATGTGTGTGTGTGTGTGTGTGTGTGTGTGTGTGTGTGTGTGTGTGTGTGTGTGTGTGTGTGTGTGTGTGTGTGTGTGTGTGTGTTTATTGATCTTAGAGAGCGGGAAAGGGAGAGGGAGAGAGAGAGAGAGATAGAAACATCAATAGCCTGCCTCCTACATGCCCTCTACTGGGGATCGAGCCCACAACCCAAGCTCGACCAGGAATCGAACCGGCGACCTCTTGGTGCTTGGGGTGAGGCCAATCAACTGAACCACACCGGCCTGGCCAGACATTTCTTGAGTACCTATTAGACTAGGGCAGTGGTCAGCAAACTCATTAGTCAACAGAGCCAAATATCAACAGTATAATGATTGAAATTTCTTTTGAGAGCCAAATTTTTTAAACTTAAACTATATAGGTAGGTACATTGTTATTAACTTAATTAGGGTCTTCCTAAGGCTTAGGAAGAGCCACACTCAAGGGGCCAAAGAGCCGCATGTGGCTTGCAGCCGCAGTTTGCCAACCATGGGACTAGGGTTCTGACGTGGTCTCGAAACCTTCTGATAAAATAGGGTGTGTGTGTGCGTACACATGCATCCATTGTGGGGGCAGAAGATCCTGTTTAATTCAGATTTTCAGAGGATGGGTTTCCACATGTACCTGGGCAGGCTGTTCACTGAACAAGGGGGCCCAGGTGAGGGGCCTAGGGAGGCCGAGACCCAGCCTTGCCCCCTGGGGACGGCCCATCCAGGGGAAAAGGCGGCATTTCCTGACTCCCACAGAGCCGTCCTGGGACTCGGGCTAAGCATCCCCGGGCTGAGCAAAGCATCCTCATCTCTGCCCACTCCACTCCCTCCGCCCCTGCTCCTTGTGGTAGGACCCGCGCTACCCCTGCTTTCCGTGCCTGTTCCCATGGGAAAGAGCTGACAGAGTGGAAGGGGAGAAGCCAGAGGACTAAGGAAGGGAAGGGAAGGCTTTAACTTGGAAGGAAACTAATTAGAAGAGTAAGTTGGCAGAGACCTTAATTATCGGGTAGTTGCTCCGCTGTATCCTTTCGGTGGCTCTGGGGCCGCCCTCCCAGGAGCCTGGGCTTCCACCACCACGAGGGGGGAGGGAAGGCTGGGGGTTTGGCCTCTTACACAAAAGCCTGCAGATTGGGAGGCCGACTCCTGCCTCGTCTACCTCTTTCTAAAATCGTTTTTATTGAGGTAAAATACACCTCACATAAACTGAATCATCAGTGACATTTAGAACAGTCACAGTTTTGTGCAACCACTGCCACTGTCTAGTTCCAAAACGTTTTCATCAAACAAAAAAGGAAACCCTGCCCCCCTCTGCACCCCTGCGGCCCCTGGCCACCCCTCATCTGCTTTCTGTCTATGGGTTTTCCTGTTCTGGACATTTGATATAAAGGAATCATCCCAGAACTTGGCCTGCTGCGTCTAGCTCATGTCCCATGCGTGATTTCAGGGCCCATCCATGTTGCAGCGTGCATCGGCCCTTCATTCCTTTTAATGGCCGAGCGTTGTTGTTTGTGCGGTTACATCATCACAGTGCATTTATCCGTTCATCGGTTAATGGCCACTTGCCTTGTTTCCACCCTTTGGTGATTGCGGATAATGTGGAACAGGGTGTACAGGTGTCTGGGCGCTGCTTCACTTCTCTGGGCGCGGGGGGGGGGGGGGGTTGTCTCCACATCTTTTGGCTCCTGGCTGTTGCAATCCAGCCAACAGGATAACTTCCTTTTGGGAGAGGGAGAGGCAGTGCTGGGGGCCTTGGGGGATGGAGGCGGAGAGCTGTCAGCTGGCGGGCAGAGCGGGGACCCCTGGCCGTTCCAGGGGCCGGGGCGGTGTGGAGACCACCTTTCCCACGTTGGCCAAATTAGGAAATTGGCCTGGGTGCCCTCCTCCCTCCACTCAGCACCCCTGGCCCTTCCTGGCTCAGTTTCAGGGGTGCCTCCCTGGCAGGCACTTTCCATAGCGTGCAGGGCGGTGGGTCCCACATGTCCCAGATGGGGAGGCCTCGGGCAATATGGCACCCGCCTGGTCATCAGTGTCCTCAGATGTCAACCAGAGCTCTGAGCCCTCACACTTATTTATGTAAATAAGAGAAAAGCACGTGCTCTTGTGGGTTTGGGCTGGGGTCGTCACCTCACAGGTGGGACACAGGGTCAGAGGCTAGGTCCGCTCACTCCAGCAGCCCAGCTAAGGGGAGTCCTTCTCGCTGCCCGCCCTTTCCCCGAAGCCAGCAGCGGTGGTGACCGCCCCAGCAGGCCCGTGTTAAGCCGGTCGTCTTGGAAACAGAAAGCTGGGGGAAGCGACTGCTACTGGTGGCATGTTAGACGCAGTGATGGGGAGGGTGGGGCGAACTTCACGCCACAGGAGGCAGAGGTCTCACTCGCATCCAGACGGCCCCCCTTCCCCTGGAGACCCCCGTCTCCTGAGTATTCTTGGTGACAAGCACTTTCCCAGGCGCGGAGTTTCTTACTGTCGGTCTCCACAGTGTGTGCCACGCTGGGCTAACATCGTCCCCCGTCTCACAGATGCCGAAGGAGGGCGGCCGGTGTGTCATTTCCCCGGGCTGCTCAGTGGCTAAGTCCGACTGAGCCCAGGCTGGAGGGTGGGTTCACTTTGCTGCTGGGTCTTTCTCTCTCTCTCTCTCTCTCTCTCTCTCTCCCCTCTGGGTCCCTGCAGTCTCGTTCTGCCCGTGCCAGTCTCTGCCCTTGCAGAATGCATTCTCTTTCACAATTTCCCACTTCCTCCCAGCTTACCCGACAAGCCCCAGTCCGGTCTTCCCTTAGATGCTGTGCCTCAGGCAGAAGCAATTTAGTTCTAGACCATTTCTTTCTTCGGTCAAGCCCCCTGACCTCCCTGTTCCTGTTTACTCCCAACCCCACAGAGCCAACATGTGTGTCTCCTGTACTGTGGGTATTTCACACACACACGCACACACACTCACACTCACACACTCTCACTCACACTCTCACTGTACTCATCCTCAGGCTATTTGTCTTGCATATATTTTGACCATCTTCCAACCTGGAGAGGCCCGAGCAGTGTCTGGAGGCCCCGGTAAGCGTGCCCAGGTGTGTGCTGGGGCTCCGCGGACATGCTGTGCCGGCGAGGAGGCTGCCTGCCCGGCGGCGGTCCGTCCCTCTGGCACCTGGCGGTCTGGAAGCCACAGAGGCGCTGCGGGTCAACAGGTGTGGGAGACAGAAGCGTTCAGGGCACAGGGGAAGGTTTTTCATTAAACTGTGAAACTTCATAATGAAACAGACAGGGAGGACCAGGGGGAGCCGTGCTCACTCGCAGTCCCTGGAGCAGCGGGGATTGATCTGATCCCCGATCCCCACCGAGGGCGTGCAGGGCTCCCCAGGAAACGGAAGTGCGGGCTCTGCAGTCTGCAGAAAGCTCAGCAGTTTGGGAGCCGTGTCTGTGTTGCTCACTTGCCAGCTAGTAAGCCGTGGTCATCAGTGACCCAAAACTGCCTCGTAGACATGGCTGGGGATGCCGGTGACATTTAGGAGCTGGTTAGTTTTAGTATTTCTGAACAGGGTCCGGCTTCGCTGAGAAAATCATGGCTCCCATCCTGCTGTGGCTAGAATATGGTCTTTATCCATTTATTTCTCCGCAAGGCACAGAAATTATGTGAGCTAATTTGGGCCCTTTTCTTAGGTTTAAGTGTTCTTTAACTAACAACTTTTATTTATTTTTTTGTTGTTAATTCTCACGTGGGGATATTTTCTCCATTGCTTTTCAGAGAGAGTGGAAGGAAGGGAGGGAGAAAGACAGGAAGAGAGAGAGAAAGAGAGAGAGGAACATTGATGTGAGAAAGACTGGTTGCCTCCCACATGGGCCCTGACCAAGGGCAGGGAGCAAACTTGCAACTTAGGTACGTGCCCTTGCCCAGGAATCGAACCTGTGACTCTTTGGTGCCCAGGCCGTCGCTCTAACCACTGAGCACCACTGGCCAGAGCTGATAACTTTTATTTTTGCGTTTACTGAAGAAAATCTAGATGGAAGAGTTAAGCAAAAAGAAGGGAAGACAAGCTGCCCATAATCCCACCGGGAAGCACCTGCTGTAGCTTCTGTGTCTCTACTAGTTTCTCTCTGTTCTCCCTGTTGCTCTCTGATTATTTTAGGAAAAGCTCCGGGCGTGTGGTTACGGGAATTAAGCTGCAGATAAGTGCATGTGGTGAAAGGGCATCCGGGGTTGTCTCAGACTCCAGTTCTCCTCGCAGGGTGATTTGGGCACTTGGGGAAAACCCACTTCGCTCTTCGATTCATGGCGGTGTTGTAGAAGGTTCCACAGCTCGCTCTGCTGAGGCTTGCATGGATGGTTTCCGGTAGCTTCCCCAGCAGGCCCTGGCCTCATCTGCGTCTGCGGCTGTGCTCACCTGTGCTCGGTGCTCCCTGAGATGTCAGGCTGCAGCGTCCACACGGGAGTGTGGGGAGCGGCACCTCCCACCCCGTGAAAGTGCCTCACCCCCGAGCATGGCTTTGTAGGGGCTAACAGAGGAGAAAGCCCAGGGTTAGCTGAGCGCACTTCCCTCTGTCCTGGGGGGAACCTGTCCCCCCTGCGGTGGCTCTGAGGCAGCAGGCGCTCCTCACACCTCCCGCTCAGACAACCGCCAAACTCACACAAGCGCGGCCTGTGACCTCCCTTAGGGGGGCCTGTGGGCCACACATCCTCAACGCCGAGCTGTTCCAGGGTGACTTCATCTGCCCTGACTTCCTGGTTGAAAAACGGCTGCACAAATGCCAGACGCGTGTGACCTTTCCTTTCCTCCTCCACAGAAGCCTGGGATGGTCCCCCCTCCGCCGGGAGAGGAGAGCCAGAGCTTCGTGCTGCCCCCCGGCTGGCAGAGCTACCTGTCCCCCCAGGGCCGGCGCTACTATGTCAACACGACCACCAATGGTGAGTCCCGCTCAGGAGTGGCCTGCGCCAGCCCCGGGCCCCTGTCTCTCCGAGAGCCAGGCTTTCTCCTCCCGCCTGGTTTTTATTTTCTTCAGAAGCTGACCTGAGAGATGGCTCTCCCCACAGTGCTGGGCGGCGGGGGTCTGAGCCTGGATGGGGAAGCCTGCCCTTCAAGGCCAGGGTCCTCCTCGGACCCTTACAGCCACTCGGGCGTGTTTGCTGAACGGAACCTCTAATTGGGATGGAGAGAGGTTGTGGTCTGCAGCTAGTTTGAATCAGGGCGAGCGCTTGAGCTGTGTGCGCTGTCTTGGGGTCTGAATGTACTAAATGACGCAGGAGTTCCCAGGCAGGCATCGCAAGATCTACGCCCCCCCTGACTTCCCCACCACGCCTCCTGCTCTCACCAGGATCATCGCACTGCCTGAGTCTTGGCATGTTCCTTGGGAAATGCTGGGGCTACATATGGATGGTTTATTCTAGCAGATAGCGGGTTCCGTGTGCATCTCCGAGTGGAGGTGGGACCGCACCTCCATGCCCCCAGCTATTAGGGACTTCCCAGGCCTTCATAGTGACTCCAGGATCCCGGGATGCCGACTGCAGCGTAAAGGAGGAGTGGCAGGTTACTCCAGCCAGCTGAGCAGAGTAGTGTTGCAGGCCTGCGGGCCTGGGCCTGGCAAAGCAAAGCCAGCTAACAGCTCTGCCCTTGGCATGACGCCCCCGGGAAACTGCCACAGGGGAACAAAGGTTAGAAATGGAGAGTTAGGCTTGGTAGGAATCATAGACGTGTGTGCCAAGGCAGAACCTGAAACCTACGGGGGGCTCAGTCTTGGCTTCTCTCTTCCCTCGGCTGACAGCCGCCTCTTCCCACCCCCAGGACCACCCGTAGGGCTGCTGACTGAGATCCACTCAGAGGGTCCCGGTGGCAGGAGAGCCAGCCGTGGTGAGAGGGAGCAGCAGAGAAGGCGGCTGGCCGCTGACAGTGTGGTCACGCCCCCGGGCACCCTGGCCCTCCGTGGGCTCGGGAGGGGTGTTCTGGTTGAGTAGGTAACCAGGGTTTCTAGGAAAAGGGAAGTAGGACTAATTCTGACCATTCTAATCTTACGCTTCCTCAAAGCAGACATGAGCAGCTTGGCAGTTATCAGACTTTGAAGTGTCAGAGGAAAGTGTGTTTTGGGCAGCTCCCCAAAATGCAGAAACCGGACCATATGACCCTGAGATCATCAAGCATTGGGATCTGGGGGGAGGGGGTGGAGGGAAGGGCGTCCTAAAATCAGCCTTTGCGTGTGTGTTTTGAATTAGAGAATAGCAGCCCTAACCGGGTTGGCTCAGTGGATAGAGCGTTGGCCTATGGACTGAAGGGTCCCAGGTTCGATTCCGGTCAAGGGCACATGCCTGGTTGTGGGCTCGATCCCCAGCAGGAGGCATGCAGGAGTTAGCCGATCGATGATTCTCTCTCATCATTGATGTTTCTATCTCTCTCTCCCTCTCCCTTCCTCTCTGAAATCAATAAAATTAGAGAAAAATGTATTCTCAGCAAAAACTGCAGTGAGTGCAAAAGTATTTAAAATAAAAAATTTAAATCCCTGGTCCAGTTCCCTATTTATCACATATTCTTCCAGATATTCATATTTTCTCACCTTCTATCTAAACATATGTACAGCTAGTCTTTCTAAAAGATTGGAAAAACGATCCATGTTGTTTTGTAAACTTCTTTGACAGTGTACTGTGGACATCTTTCTATACTTGTACATTTTAGCCTAACCCATTTTTAAAGATAGCTGTGTAGTAGTCCATTGCTAGTGTATGACATTAGTTTAACTAGCCCTTCTTTATTAAGGGGATATTTAAGTCCCATTTTACATTAACAAACAGTGTCTGGCAGCTTTTTTCTGAGGCCCAGATGTTAGCATATGCCACCGGGTCAGCACTTCTGTGAGTTCTGGGATATAGTGATTGCAAGAGACTGTAGGCCAGGGTTCAGTAAACTTTTTCTGTAAAGGTAGTATATCTTTTAGGCCTTGAGGCTCATATAATCTCTATCACAGCCCCCCAGCTCTACCACTATCATGCTAAAGCAGCCGTAGACAGTACAGAAACCAAGGGGTGAGGCTGTGTTCCAATAAAGCCTTATTTATGGACACTGATGTGTGAATTTCAAAAACTGAAATAGTCTTCGTTTTAACCATTTCAAAATGTGAAAGACGATGTTAGTTTAGGAGCCACAGGCTGTATGACAGCAGGGTGGGCTGGGGTTGGCCGCAGGTCCAGTTGGCTGCCCACCCCACTGTGGTCTCTGTCATCTGCAGTAGGAATGGCCTGTCTTCCCCTCCTCTTCCTTCTCTCATGTGCTCAGGGTAATCCTGGCTCCCTGGTCCCACATTCTAGACACAGGCCAGTTTTATCCACTCATTGTTTAATTCATTCTTCAATGTTTGATTGAATTGTTCACTCAGCAGACACTCGCTCAGTGGGCCTCAGATCTGCTCCAGGCATAGTGTGAATGCTGGGATATGATAAGAATCAGTCCCTGCCCTCTAAGTGTTTCTTCTTATAGTGGAAACAGAAGTTAAATGAATACGTATTTGATAACCATTCTGAGCAGGACCTTGAAGGGGAAGCCCAGGGTGTTTTGAGAGCAAATTCATTTGAGACCCTGGAGATCAGGGAAGGCTTCCTGGAGGAGGAGGTACCCTTCAGCTCAGATGGGGAGGATGAGGAAAGGGCTGCCAATGGAAATGCCCTCCTGATAGCAAAGAGTTAGTCATGTTTGGGGGGATTGTCTATAGACCGTGAACATCATGTTAAGGACTCTGCTCCTTATCTAAGGCAGTGGTTCTCAACCTGTGGGTCGCGACCCCTCTGGGGGGTCGAATGACCCTTTCACAAGGGTCGCCTAAGACCATCGGAAAACACATACATAATTACATATTGTTTTTGTGATTAATCACTATGCTTTAATTATGTTCAATTCGTAATAATGAAAATACATCCTGCGTATCAGATATTTACATGACGATTCATAACAGTAGCAAAATTACAGTTAGGAAGTAGCAACAAAAATAATTTTATGGTTGGGGGTCCCCCCAACATGAGGAACTCTATTAAAGGGTCGCAGCGTTACGAAGGTTGAGAACCACTGGCCTAAGGGGATGGGAGGCCTGCCTCTCTGGTCCTCTGGACCCTCTCTTAGGTAGTTTTGTTTGGCTGTTGGGCTGCTGTTTAAGTTGCTGGATCTGCCTGCCTTTCTGCAGAAAGGGACCTATTAGAATAGCTGCTTGCTCTTCTCACACTTGCGTTATCTGACCTCCTGACACTTGTCACCTCGAGCTGGGCCCGCTGTATCCAGCTTTCTGCCCTGACTCAGGCAAGCACCACTGCCCAGGAGGCAGATGCCACCAGGACCCCACTCTAAGCCGCCCGGCCATTCCTCTCTTCTCATCTTTCCCAAGTACTCCGTCTCCCCTAATCCCTAATCAGTTCTTTCGCAGAGGCTGCTTGGGCACAATAGGCGTCGGTCCCCGTTTTGGTACCGCATGCAGATAGGAGTTTAAAGCCCAGTTTACATCTGTATTGCCAGGCTCTGGCGAATCCGCTTCTTTCCAGTCCACTTGGGACTTTATGGGCAGGATTGTCACGGCGCTTGTCTGGGCTGAGGGGATACAAAATCCAAAGAGAGGCCGTCTCCGCCTTCACAGATCGCAGTTCTCATGGCGTCAGACACACAGACACCAACAGGCGCTGTGGGTGTTCACATGGGAATCTAGGGCTCAGGGAAGGGAGCTGTCAACTTCCTCTGGGTATCAATCAAGCCTTCCAGGAGGGGGCGCTGGAGTCGGGGATCCATGCTGAGGTCTCTGCATGCACAAAGGCAAGGCCGCAAGGAGAGGCTGATGTGTTTGGGAAGGAGCAGAGAAGTGAGAGAGGGGCTTAGGGGTCTGAGCCATGAAAGACCCCCTGAGGCCCTTGGAGGCCTTGGGACTTGGCCCTGTGGGCAGTGGAGACTGTGGTAGGATCCAGAGCCGTGTGTAACAGGATCAGGACATCGTGGGAAGACGGCTTGTGCAGCCGAGGGAAGGGTTTAAGACAGCGAGCACAGAGCCTGACAGACTAAATGAGAAGAGAAGTAATGAGGTCAGCTCCGTGTGCACCGCTGGCCGGAGAGGAGGAGGGGGGATCTGTCAGGGGGGATGCTCCAAGTCAGGGCACGGAGAGCGCTCGGACGCCTCCGAGTCTTCTGCCTCGTGCGCCATAACCATGCAATGAGGACAGGGGATGGGACCGGGGATAGGGGGGCGGTGGGAGGGTGGAGGGGCGGGCAGGGCAGGGGAGCGGGTTTAGGAGAAAGAAGGTGAATCCACATAGAGCATGTTCCTTGGGGGACATTCGGGAGAGATGGCGAGCATATGTTTGGATGGATGGGTCTGTGACTCAGGGGACATCTGGGCCAGTGGTGGGGACCTGGGGACTCTGTGGGTGCACCGCTTGGCAAGCAGAGAGCAGAATGGATTTCACCCCTACATCCCGCTTGGCCTGACGCTGCGGTACAGTGACCAACCTGCACAACCGCAGGTGGCCACCCAGAATTTGCATTTCAGCATCTGAGAAGTGACATCATGGGATCGCAGGTCACCCAAGGCAGCCCCAGGGGAGAGCCCTGCAGAGCAGACCGGAAGGCAGGGTCGCGGAGACTGCAAAATTGTCAGACGTGCGAAATCCAGGAGAGGGCGATGGCAGGAAAGGCAAGGGAGCGACGGCTGTCAGCCAGGGGCAGTCAGACAGACAGACAGGCAGACAGGCTGAAATACGGATCAGATTCACAGTGGGGGGCTAGTTAAATCACTGGGGAAGGCATAGGCTATTTAGCAGATAGTGTTGGGCCAGGTGGCTAACAGGAAGTTCCAGTGGGTACGTTAACGTAATAACGTTCTTGTTTTCAGTAAGGCCATCACGCATGCTTTTTATGAGACTTTGGGAAGTCCCTGTGCCCCCTGTTGCTCCAT